GAAAACCATTGATTTTTCGGACCGGCCCGTCCCGGCCCAACGGTTGTATTTTCAAAATAGTCAACCCTGATCCGGCCCGTTAAAAATCTGGGCCGGGCCAAGCGGCCCGTGCCCATCTCTACGACAATTACACTGATGGGATTGTACATATATATATATATATAATAATCTAACGGCTCAAATTTCCCAAGTATTTTGGGATTTGTTTTACTAAACAATGGTAGATCTATCTGTCTATATCGAAAAAGATGGATGTGGATGAATATGATGTCATCTAATCTAATGCAAAGGGTGATTGATTAATGATTATCCCCAACTTTTTTTTTTTTTTATAATTTTCAAGTTTGGTGGGGGAAAAGAAAAGGAAAAGAAGCCACTTGGTGAATATTGGGAGCTTATCGTGAACAAATGGTGCGTACGTAGAACAAAATTGAATCTCAAATCAAATGAAAATTATGGATATTAATGGGACACGTAGTACATACATTTTTTTTCAGTAGCACTACTGTATGCCCTGGCACATCTAACTAGGTGTGTCAGGACGGTTTTGCACGCGCCTCTCTTACCCTTAAAAACAAGAAAATTTGGAGAGTGTAGTGCGCATTCCTATTTTTCTTTTTTTAATTGAAAAATGAGACATATTACATAAATTAGAATATCATTAATTATATATATTAAAAAAATAAAATAAAATACCAAAATTCATAATTTTTCATTATCTATAAATAGAGACCACATTAATAGAGACCACATTTGATAGGTTTTTTGAACACAATTAATTTTTCGTTTTTTCGTAATTATTTTATTAACTAACATATAATGAACATGTTACATAATAAAATGAATATGCTTTCAAATATGATGGACATGTTACAGATTGCAGATTGAAATAATACACATATTCATCTTATTTTATAACATGTTCACCTTATTGTGTATGTAACATGTTCATTTTATTCTATAACATGTTCATTTTATTATGTAACATGTTCATCTTATTCTATAACATGTTCATTTTATTACGTAACATGTTCACCTTATTGTGTATGTAACATGTTCATCTTATTCTATAACATGTTCATTTTATTATATAACATGTTCATCTTATTCTATAACATGTTCATTTTATTATGTAACATGTTCACCTTATTGTGTATGTAACATGTTCATTTTATTATGTAACACGTCCATCTTATTTTAGAACATGTTCATCTAAATTTCATCTGTGAAAATGTAACATTTTCATCTTATTCTATGACATGTTCATCTTATTCTATAACATGTTCATCTTATTATGTAACATATTCATCTAATTATAGATTTATGTCATAATCTTCTAATAAGATAAATTAATTGTAAAAAATGATAAGTTAATTGTGTTTCAAAAAATATCAAATGTGGTCTCTATTTTGTAGAGAATGAAAAATTATGAATTTTGGTATATTTATTTTTATTTTTTGATACAAAATATGAATGAAAGTTTAATTTATATAATATGATATATGAATTTCATTACCCAATAGAAATGGGACACATGTCCCATTTAAAAAAAAATGTCTTACTTTCTTACCTCACGCGCTTTTGAGGGGGTGTATTTTACAAAAGGTCCTGGCACACCTAGCAAGATGTGCCAAGGCACACCTAAGTATTTGCGCTTTTTTTTTTTTTTTT